TGTAACAATGACTTCATAATACTGATACTAGGTGAGAGTTAGAAACCAAAAAAAAACACAAATTATAGTTGAATGTACACTTCGTGATGTATACGGTGAAACAGAGAAAAAAAGAAATAGGAACACAATTTGTTATTGTAATTATTGTAATTTATTGTATTTATTGTAATTCTAACACTTTGTGGTGCGATGGGAAAACCGGGTGCGGTGAGGCTACAAGACGCGTGCACTGTATTTACAGTACGATTTAATAGGTAAGAAAGAGAGGCCTTTCCTTTCTTTATTCTTTACTCTTCCTGTCTATGGACCGTACGCGGCAGCCAGCTCGGCGCCGGCCTGACCTATCCCCTCCCCTGGTCTGGTAAGGTGGGAGAGTCCTCAGAGCCGCTCTGTTTGTGCCCCGTCACGGTGGTTGATCGGATTGTCAACGGGTCGCCGCAGCGCTCGTGCATATTGTACTATGTATTGCTACTACTGTGGTCCAAGTCAAGACGTATGCCTATCGTCGTTGAGTAGGTCATTCCATACAATGGATATTGTGTCCTCGTAGAAAATATAAAGCTTACAATTAGTCTGTATGTTTTGAAAATATCATTGCGTGTAGGAAATAACAATAATATGTTAAAAAGCTCGAGTCCCTACTTTATTTCATTTGAATTACAGCATAATAAATAAAATCGTTATTTTCAGTTTAAATTTTGACAAAATTAGAACTTTTAATCTTTTAATGTCTATAAAAAAGAATCCATAAGTAGGTATCCTTAGTATTTCTGATATTCTAAAGTTTCTCTAAGAACAATCTATGAGAAATCCTGCATTACGTTTGTAAGTGTTTAGTCGTTCAAAAAAAATTCAAAAATATCAAATATTAATAGCTTAAAGTAAGTTTATATTTTGATAATATTATAATATTATTATTATTATTATTATTATTATTATTATTATTATTATTATTATTATATATAGTGAGGTAATCAAGAAAAGTTTCAAATCTCTACGATAAATATTTTTTTTGTATTTCAACAAAATAACTAACATCGTTTAAGGAACATTAGTTTGAGTATCCAATTTCGTAAATATAAAGTTTAAGCGGGAATAAAAAAATATTACTTGCATTTTAGATATTTTAATAAGTACGGTAAAATATTATGCGCTTTATATTGGATAAATTGTAAAACCCGTATGACCTTAGTTTTAATTCTCTGACTTTTTGTATCCAACAAAAATTGTTTTTTAATGTATTCAAACGAATTTATGTAAGGAGCGGTGCAAACGTTAGGTTCTTATAGAAACACAAATATTTAAAATACTTTATTTCAAATGCGAAAACGAAATTATTAAAACCCTACTATTTGACCCCGTAGACACACTAAAATGGACAAAACAACCTTTGTAATTTACATTTGAAACGAAAGTGAAATTCGTTTATAAAAAAAAATGTTTACACAAACTCAAAGTTTTGAATATTTTATAAGATATTAATATATTTAACTTAAAAGTTATCTATACGACAACGAGGGAGGATATTAGGTACATATAGCTTCTAATTTTCATCGTTAGGTTTCATTCAATAATCAACATTACCATTTCAGTATTTCACCTTACCAAGATTATCATTCTTAAACCAGATCAAAGATCAATTTTTATTATTATTATTAAATGCCCTACGAAAATACGCACACGTCTATATTTACATTAAAATATACAATTATGATAACATTTTTGGCGGTCATCCGAAATTACTACGTTTCATTTTTAAATGCAATACTTAGCGGCAAAATGCACACAAGAGTTTACAAAAATTCAATATAACTTAATGTGAAATAGTAATATAGCTATTATTAAATATTCTTGTCATACTCTATATATTTAAAAAATCAGTACCTAATCATAATTTATTTTACGATCAACTATGGAAAGTAAATATTAAGATGTATGTATTAATTATTTATAAATAAAAATCGATTTCATTATAAAGTATGCATATAGAAAAGTAGTGGTGGTGTTCGCTTTTGTAATTGATGGAATTTTAACAATGTTTAAAGAACTATACAAAACAACAACATTTGAACGTCAATCAATTCCTATAAAAAATTTACAAAACTATCCAATGTTAATATGATTTAAAAGGTATTATTAAAAAGCCTAAGTTTTAAATTCAAAATGATTGAAAGATGGTATAATAATCAGTTGTATTTGTCTTTGAATTCAGTTAATAATGATATTTTAATCATCACTTTTTGTATATTATGAAATTAAATGTAACTAAACATACAAATAACATCTGTTATTTGTTATTCGGGCCTATTACATTGGCAATCGGTTCATCTTACCTATACTCTCTAAAATCAATTTTAAATTTCGAACCATTTTCTTCCCTGACCACACATAGGCATCCCTTCTTTCGTTCCATACCACCTCAACAAACTAGTGTTTAAAAAAGCATTGCATCTTTGTACTAAATTCTATAGCCAATTTATTATGACCACTTTTTTTTGTTTTTATACTTTTGTCTTAATGTATATTTTTAAAATTGTATTATATTTAAATAAAAGAATAATTAAAATAAGTAAATTTGGTAACTTAAACTAATATTTACTGCCAAAACAAAAGTATTTTTAATAATATAATTATTTTGTACATAATAGGTACATAATTATCTTACTTTTCAATAATAGAGATAACCCAACATAAACTCTCTAATTTATTTTTACACGATAACGTTAACAATAACACATTGTACATAGTTCTACTACTCTATAATTAAAATTATAAAAACGAATATATCAACTGATATCATATATCGTACACATTCACTGGTAAAACCTATAGCTTTAACTTTCAATTCGACTTAACAAAATAGAAAATGTTATCATCAATATCCAATACACCACAGTACCACACACATAGTTATTGATCTAAAAATACATCAAAACTAAAACAAAAATTGGTCAAAGTTATCATAAAGTGTAGTTCATCTTCAATCGCAATAGTTTTACTGAAGAATATTATACAATTATTATTCTAGCTCCTTTTAAATCTCATCAACAGCCTCGCTATAATACACAACGCGGTTTTACATTAAAATAATAATTATTATTATTATTATTATTTCATTATTTCACATTACCTAACCTAGTCGTTCTACTAATATACTGTACTTATTAATAATTATAGTCTAAACTTTATAGTTTTTTACAAAAAATTAATAAACATTGGCAAAGCAAAATCAAAATGTTAACGTATAGGTGGGTTAATAGGGCCAATGCATATTTATTTTCATGTAAGTAAAATCTATGTAAGGTATTTACCAAATGTACATTTGTACGCTTAAATATATGGATCAAGTACAACAACACTATAGTAACTAAAAAAAATGCTGTATTATTGATATGTACTGGTTGACTGTCCGGTACAAATTCCCTCGGGTGCCATTCATATTATGGCACTATGACAGTAAAAAGAATAACAATATTTGATTTGTCGAATTTTAAAAAATTGTTCAAATTGAGAAAAATATGAACAGATAGCGACCGTAGGTATATTATTCTGAACTAAAATTCAGTGTATCTGATTCCACATCATTGTTTGGTTTTTTCAACAAATAGGTAATTGGTAATTTATTATTTTTTGTTGACATTTATGTACTTGTTTTCAAATAAAAATATTTTTAAAAAACCCATACTCGTGGTTTGAATTACAGATAACCATGATAACCACTAATATTGACTTTCCCGCCCGGAATATTCTCCAACTAGGTCCTACAGTTGGCGAGTGGGTGGATAAATAAAAACATTGGGAAAAGCTTATTAATACACGTTAATTAAAAACATTAAGTGCAAATCATAACCGGTAATAACTCCATCACAACGCAAGAATACGATGATCGATATATTCAAAATAGGCTGTTTTTCAATGGCCTGTGCATAATAATATGTTGTTTTTCCTTAAAAGCTAATGATTTACCTATATCTTTTCAAATCTGAAATTTATCTAATAACAGTAGTAGTTATATTCAAACAAATGGTGTACAATAATGTAATTTTTAATATATTTCAAAATTTCGTATTATACCTACTTAACTACGGCGTATATGAAATATAGATATTAAGTTGGCGTTACTAGTACGTATGTATTTCTATTGTAAGCAAATACTTATAAGTTATATTAATGTACCTTGTAGTACCTATACTTTTATATAACTGTGCTTGAATTTTTACCCGAATTTAAAACCTATTCATTTACTTTAGAAACATTGTTTTATTTTGGCATAATACATATGTTTTTAAAAATTTAAAACCGTTTGACGTTTTATCCACCCGACATTGATAGGTATTTCATATTATCTAGAACAAGTTTTTTATCAATAATAACTTATCATTATCTCCTCAACCTACTAACCTACTCCCCGCCTCCCACACAACTTCGCACAACATTTCGTTGATTTATTAATTATTAAACTGATATATTTACTATATTTATATTAGTACTAAAACCTGCGATAAATTATTACGTACTATAACAGCAGTGACATATAAAAATGTCGAAGTCCAACATGATGGGCAGGGGTGAAGTGAAATGAACCGAACGAAAACGTAGAAGACTAAATAAAGACTTAGCAAGGACAAGGCAATAATGATGACAACCATGACGTATACCGTACAACTGTAGAAAATATCTCTGTCAACACAGAAATGTCACCTTAACAAATGGTACTTTGTCACCTTTTCGCTGCCCACCCATTCCTCTCCGTTCTCGTCCATCCGTGATATATAGCACTACAGCAGCTGCGGCCTAAATATAAAGGTTGTCTTAAAGGAAAGTGCATAACTGCAAACTGCAGCAGAATATTTTTGACGTTAGGTATCATAGATACACCTCATTATTACAACTGTGATGTAGATGTCTTCAGACTGTATACAATTTTTAAAAAAAAACAATAATAATATTATATTGTTAACTGTTTAATAATATTATTTCTTATTTTTGTTTGTTTTCAGTTTGTTTTCCGATCTGAGGACAATGTCTGGCACTGCATTAATGTACATGCTAGCAAATATGTTTTTAACACAGCTGTTTTATGTAGTTGGAGTCGGAGGAGTTCAGGTAATACATTTTACGGTAGTTAACTAATAATCTATTTATAACTATTGACATAACACTGAGATAATTTTTATTAATAAAATAATTCATTAATTTTATTTAAAAAAATATATATTACAGCACGCATCAATATTATAATACCTTTTGAGATAACAATATTAATCAGTAGTTCAAATTTATACATCTGTATAATATGACATGACCTATCATAGATCGATCGAAACAAGAAGTTTTTTTTTTTATATGAATATAATCTATAGAAATATTGTATTATTGTTTTCAAATATTTTTAGAGTTTTCGACATTTAAACAAAATAAATTATTTTATAAGGTTTTCATTTTTTTTTATTTTGTGAAATCCAGCTCAACTTCTAAAGCAATTAAACGTCATTGGTACATATTGGTTCTGGTTCACTTTCACACACACACACACACACACACACACACACACACACACACACATATAAAAAAAGAAAAATACGCATTGATGTAAAAACTAAGAAAAAACAAACTAAACACTTTTACAATGATGTTTGTGCTTTGATTCAATTTAAAAAAAAATGTTTGAATCTTTTTTTGGTAAAACACTTAATAGAAATGAGAAATTCAGTTGAAACCGTTAAATGAAAATGAATAATTTAAATACCTAGTTTTGTTGAGAAAATACTTGCCAGTCAAACTAACTGCGCGTATAAATAATAACTTTTTATAAGTTTCAAAGAAAGCGTATTTTGTACACGTGTACATCCTAACCTATTTAGTTTATCATTTAAGTAAGGTAGGTTTTCCTCGAAACATAAGTATAAATATGTTCGTTGAAAGGCGCATTGAGCTAAAACTTCCTGAGACACTATACGAGATGCTAGCACCCACTCCTGAGACGACCAAAACACTCTTCAATTTCGTCAACTCAACAAAACTGCGTCAACTGATTTAAATATTTGTACTTTAGTTAAAATAAATTTGTAAATATATAGGTAACTAGTAGAAATTAAGATAGTATGTAAGCAATTAATGTAAATTTAAACATGTAACGCTGGCTAATAACCACGTAGTTGATGCCATAAACAATTAATAAAAAAAAAAAAATATGTTCGTGAATGATAATGATACCTACATACTTACGTACATAATAGCAAATAATAATAAATATCATGGATTAAATCGAACGTTTTAAAAAAATAGCACCCACAAAAAATTACATTGTATTTAAATAACATATTATTATCTATCTTCTTTCCATAGGCTCAATAGGCTCCAATTTTTTTTTTTTTGTGGGTGGGTGGGGGTGGAGGGTCAATTGTATTGAATCCTATGAATGCGTATGTTTTGTGGTATATAATCGGTATATATTTTTGTGTCACGTATATTATCAGTTTTTAGGACTCTTACCCCTTTTTTTATACTACTTTCACTGCATATTATATATTATAATCAGGAAAGTTAATTTCTATATGAATAATATAAAAATAATAGTATTATGCCTTTATTTTTGTCATAGGATAAAGTATAATACAACATATATATACATATGTATATAACCTAAAATTAAGCAGCAAAACCCAACCAAAAAGCAGAGCTTGTAAATAGTAGGAATGAGTTCAATATCCAGTAATGACAAATATCAAAACAATAAATAGAAAAAGAGAAATTTTGAATGTACTTCTATAACAATATAAATAAAAAGTAAAATTTAAATTTAAATGAACTGAAATAATAATAAAATTCATTATTTTTTAAATATATTATTAATATGTTTTTTAAATTCCATATATAACTACTGAAGTTATCAATTTTAATATTGTATCTACGCAAAAAGGAAATGCCTTAAAAAATTAGATTTTTGGAACTGTAGTACAAATAGGAACACTTATAACCTACTTAAGTTAAATTTTTGTTTTGACCTAGTGCTATAGTTATGTGAATGCATGTATATTACAGCATAACGCTGTCCCTGAATAATTCCAACCTGAAAACTTGCATCCGGATAAAAAGAACAAATATATTTCAATTTTCAACCCCGTTTGCTTTCCTATTCACTTCGTATACAAGCTTTTCACTAGAGTGTTATAACTTATAATAAGTGTTATAAGTATTGGCAATTGTTGAAGAATGAAACTGTTGTGTGAAACACAACAATGAAATGTATTCCATTAAGAGGACGCCACACCCGTATGTGTCTCAGTCTTTGCAGTTTTAAGATATACTCATAACATGTTTTAAAATCAAAATAGAAAAAAAATCAAAGAGGTTCTCTAGATAATATTTTTATTTCTAAATTTTATATTGGGTCAATTGGCTTCAATATTAATCATAACAGAGTTAAATTTATTATCCAGAACGTACAATTTCCTATGTTAGTATGTTACGCGTTTGGAAGACAGAGACAACACACGCGGGTGTGGTGTTCTCTTAAAAACGTACAATTAATAATTATTTTGTCAGTCAACGTAGTATTATAGTAATATAGTATATAACAATATACAGAGAATCAATATTAAATAATTTTGAAACAGCTATCTTAATTACAAAAGTAGCAACTACCTACTCCTACATTATACCTACTACATACTATTGCAGTATTGCTAATCGCTTATTGCTTCTCACTTGAATCGAACTAGTTTACGGCTTTGACTATATTGCATTAAACTCTTAATAAAGCTACACAAAAAAGACGGCGAGGCATGAGGATTTTTCGCGTTTAAAATTAATGAATTTATCATTTTATAGTGAATGAAATCTGATACTCTAAAACCTTGTTGTAGTAAACTGTAAAATAAAAATTGAAATTAAGAAGTATGCCACTTTTTCATTTTATATTTTTTCCGGGCCGAAATCGAGCTATACCTACCATTCACAAGACCACAAATGTATCAGTCTGATTAATAATAAATAATATTCGCCGTTATAACGACTTTAATTTTATTGTAATTTGTAATATAATAATATGTATGTTACCAGGAAGATAATCTCTGTCTGTGTCTGGCGTTTGGAATACACTACCTCCGCTTGGCCATTATCAGTTGGCTGTGTGTGATGACCTACGATATGTTGATAACGTTCCGCAACAATGTGAATCTCAACCCTCGACCGGAGCCGGTGAATGTGCTTATTTCAAGGTTCGTCAAGTATAGTTTGTTCGCTTGGGGCGTACCCTCATTGTCAGTGATAGCAGCTAGCGTGATGAGAGTGACAGTGAACCACCAGACCATCGACAACCTCAACCCGTACAACTGTTGGTCAGTACATATATTAATGTATTAAAAGTTAAAATATTCATATTACGCAAGGGGAGAAATTTTCTCTCTGAAATGTTACTGGTGAGTAGGTGAGCAAATGTTTCATTTTGCTTGCAATTGATGATTTTCAGTTTGAAATAATATATAAAACATTTTTATTTATGTATATTATTATTTTCCTCAATGAAGTCCAAATATTAAATGTACATATTAATATTACCATTAAAAGTTTATTATTATTATTATTATTATTAATCAATTTTTAGTGTGAGATAACTATTATTTTTGAATATTATTATTGACAGCAATACGAACAGCAAAATTAACGATACTGATGACCGTGGACAGTCTTCTATTCGAGAAAAAATAAATACCCAAGTAGTCCAAGTATCCAACTGACATGAATAATTACATTACATTATAGTATATAGCGCCTATGTATATGAGGTGAACGTTTTTGGATAAATATTGTATTGCTATGTATTCTCGTACACGGTTTACTAAATGGTTCAAATTTTTTTTGGTACTATTTCCAGTAAAATCAAAAATCGATAATTGTAGATTGAAATTTTGCTAGGTTGGTAAAACATGTAAAACACAAATGAGCAATCAAATATATTCGAATAGATTTGCATGTCTTCCGCGACGTTGACGCCACCGAGTAATCGGATCCGGGTTCGAACTAGAGGTATTGGCAGACTATAATAGCTGCACACCAGGCAGGCGCCCCATCAGACGCCCGCCAGGTGGAACGTGGAAGTTACTGGAACTTTGCCATCCGCAAGCTAGGTCCGTCGTACTAATACGACCGACCACCTAGTCAGAACGTTATTCCAAAGAAATTTTACAAATATACATATTACGGAATTTAAAAATTGAATGCACAAAATGGTTGTGTCGGAAAGAAGGACAATTTTAGAGATTCAGTTTTTGAGACCACACTGGGACCATTGGGTCAGTTATAAATGAATGTTTAAGTCGGTTTTAAAAGACTGATAACTAAGAAAAATAAATTGAAATGTATGATAAAAAAACAAGAATTTAAAAATTGAATGCACCAGCCCTGAAGTGTGACTCAATGTCGCATGGTTCTCGCGCGGCAGGGCATTAGATGACTTGTGGAGCTCACAAGTCGGCTTGCGAGTTTATTTTAAAGATAACAAGAATACGTGTTTTTAGATAAAGAAAACCACATCAATTACTCAAATAACGAAAAAGATAATGATAAAAATTAATACTCGGGCAGCCGGCAGACTGTTTTTATAGCAGCGATAGTGCAGAACCTTCAGTGTATGCTCGTAGGTAGTCGAAAAAAAATGACTATCGAAAAAGGTTATAGAAAAATCCAGGCAAAATATCAAACCGAGAAAAACCCCAACAAATCACTAACTCATCCCTGTGAAATGACCCACAGATATAAGTTCACGAGAGTATGGATAATTTTATTGTACTTTGACATTTTATTTTTAGCTATAGCTGTTCCCGTAAGTTGTAAAGCTTTGAGTAGATACACTAAATTGTAATTGTTTTGTTATGTAAGCCAAGTATCCCGTTGCCGTTGGTAGTAGCCTGTGCCCAGTATTATAAGTGTGGGTCCTTTGGTGAACCGCGAGTGTACTGACCGGTTTTCGTGATACACACTAAAGACATGGCAGGGGCGCAATTTCAATAAAAAAGGTGGGGGTGCTGAACCCCATTTATTTTTTTTCATATTATCTTATAGTTGTGAATACCTGCATAATGACTAATAAAATGAAAATAAATATGAAAAATATTGGGGGGGCTAATTCAAAATTGGGGGTGCTAAGCACCCCCCCCCCCCAAACTGAGCCTATGAGACATGGTCTCATCCATTGCAGGTGCAGGTGCCGCCCATAGGCGAAAGTGATTGAGTGTTGAGCTCGGACTATCACGATGACTGGCAGCCGTCCAGTGTTATCAGATCGGTTGCTACGCCTCTGGTTGTTATCACCTTGTGATTGGCGTACTTCGTGAACTGAGATATATAATTGCTTTTAAGCTGCCTGCTAGTGACTGGCTATAAGGGGCAACATTTAGTCACGAGCAGAGGCGGGTTAAAACAACTCTGTAGTTAAATATTTCGAAACTATATAATATAGCAGGGCTTTATAACGCTTTAACAACAAAACAAAAAAAACCGTTATCTTTAAGACTACCTATAAAAAAAATTCCAATTTAATGGCATTAAAATAATATATGTAATATCATTACAATAAAATTGCATTTAGATGGATTAATTTTCGACGGACATAATAAGGGTGACACTTTCTGGACATACTCCACCGTAAACATAGTAAATAAATACCAAAGAACTATAAAATGTTTTATTTGTTTCTGTTCGCGGTTTTATTATCCAATTATAAATGGTTTGTACACGTCAGACATGCGCTGTCGGAGTGTGATTGCCTGCATGATAGGCACATGAGACGACGTCAGCTAGCGCATCAGACACAACAACAATAAACTAATAATATTGAAAAAAATAATAATGACAATAACTATAATGATGCATAACACCACCGCGGGCACTCGTGTTGCAGGTTTTTCGAAAAGACAATCTACAACGTGACGTTCGCCGTGCCGGCGCTGTGCTGTTTCGCGGCCATCGTGGACTCGCTGATCCGGAGCTGGCTGACCGCCCGGGCCACGGTCGGGCTGCAGGTGGACAAGAAGACCCGGCTGAAGATGCACCGAAAGCGCACGCTGCAGCTGCACCTGTACGTGAAGATCGCCACGCTGCTGTTCGCGGTGAACGTGTTCGGTTACGTGGCCAGGAACGGGTCGCCGGCATCGGACCCGGTGGCGTGGATCGCGTACAACGTGGGCCACTCGCTGCAGGGCATACTGGTCGCGCTGGCCGTCACGTGCAACTGTCAAGTGCTGAAGATCTACACGCGGTCGTTCGCCCGGCGGCGGCGCCGGCGGCCACGCAACGGCAGCGCGACGGCGCTGTTCGACAAACGCGACAATGACATCAGCGACACGACGTACCTGCAGAACCTCACGTGGGACCCCGTCCCGCTGCCCGTCTAGAACGTCACGGCGGACGGCGACCCGGACGAACACAACAGGACTACGCAACTTCTACCATCCGGCCACGGCCTTCTCCGCCGCGGTCGTGCGTCACCCGATGAGCGCACAGACATGGGCGGCTGTGATGGTTTGGTAGGAGGGAGGGAGGGAGGGACCCGACAGCGAAACGAGTCTCAATGCGCATATTATTATGTATTATTATATTATCATTATTACTATTATATTATTATGTATTCAAGTATTAACCAATACACCCACACCCGCCACCGATCGGCCGTACACCAGACCCACGTTCGATGCCCCCGCAACTTGATTAAGTTTGTAATATCGTTGCACACGGCCATGGCCATCGGAAATAATTCGGTGAAATTGGAGAATAGTATTTGTCGCCAAGACGTGTGTGCGTTTGCGTGTGCGTAATATTAATAAAATGTACAATATTATAATATTATGGTAGGTACGTTCATGTTTTACGAAAACTATACTGTCGAGTCAATATTTTAGTAAATGTCTCTTAATATTATGTAGCACATAAAGATTTATGACTTATGTCCCGAATAGGTACGAGTATATTGATTGACGACAATATCCTACAAAAATTTAAAACAAAAAATTAAATCTTCATAATATATTAATATGATATTATGTTGTATAGAATATTAAAATTTTATAAATCAAAAAGATCATCACTTCTAAATTAATACATTATTGAGAAATAATATTATATCGACCATTTGCATAATATTGATAATGAGAACTATACGTAGAACATTCAGCGTTATTGTTTGCGCACCGACCATAATATTATAAGTATTACATTTACATAGGTAATAGCAGTAGTTATAGTACCTACCTATCTACAAATAAAGTGAAATAAAGTAATGAATTTAATTATGGCCGTTATAATAATACAGCAATAATGAAGTTTGATGACCACACTGTATTTTATATATTTGTAGGTAGGTATGAGTTGTATAAAAAATCAGAATATGCAGAGCCGATAGCCGATAGGTGTGTACATATAGCACCAAAAATATAACATACAAAATGTGAAAAAATGTCTTATAATTTGAAAATAAAACTCAATGTGAGATTCTTGTCACTAAAGCGATCACCAAAACTATCTTCGTATAGGAACAACGTAGGTACAAAGCATTTTGAATTTCGATATAAAACGTTAAAGTCGTCGACAACCAGGCCTTAGATTTATGTCACGATAGTATATTACATTATAACATTTATAACATAATATTACTTTAATATTATCGCGACCTGCAGTAATATCAGGAATTCGGCTAATATCGACAATATCGTAGTTTGCGATTGAGATCAGTGATCATGCTATATATTATATAGCTAAGCCCTTTTCAGTTTTCCGACTTTATTTATAATGCGTTGTACGCATATACTATTTAAGTTGTATTCATTTTATTTCAGTCGAATCAAATCCTAATTATGAATGAAAGTTAACAGTATTTTTCAATTACTTGCATATATATTATATTATAGTACATTAATACTATTTATAAACATATTGTATGTAGGTACTATTGCAATATAACCTAACAAGTGACTGTTGTATCATCGTTATTATATCCATATAACTACTACCTATATGATATGCCCCTACCTACCTCTATAAGCCTGCCTGGTTTATTATATATTTATCATCACTTATGAACTTTATTTGTTACTGTATTATTTTCTTCTTCTAGAGCAATAACACAATATGTGTGCAAATATCTGATTTAGTTTTAGTTCTACAAAGTATATGTTAATGATAATCATACATAAAATACATGAAAGTTTATATGGATGATGTTGATATTGTATTTTATATATTCAGCTGTACCTACGCAGCGGGCACATATTAGAGTGTTTTGAATCTCACATTTTAATCCATTAAATTGATTCGAAGTACGAAACTTTAGGTATGACGCAAGTTATATGCTCTACTAATGTAATACAAAATATGATTTGATTATTTTCGAGTTTTAAATACAATTTTAGCTTCTATATTTTAGATTTTGAGTTAACAGAATCAAGTTATTTGTTATAAAAGTTAAAAGTCTAGTAAATACAAGCCATTTAATAAATCGTATAATCTAATATACCAATATATTTCATGATATTTTTGTAAATAATTGATATTTTAAAAATTAAAAACTGAAAATAATATTTGTACATACCTTTTTTTGCTATCATGACACCGCTGACCCGTTGGATAACTGCCTTTGCTTTGCTTTTCCCAATAATGTACATACTAAACACTTGTCTACACTCTTTTGTCTATCTATATAACAGTTATGAATTTTATAAAAAAAAAAACCATTTGGATCACAAAGTGAACATACCCTAACCCCTCATGAGTTAATAACTGAGTCCATATGACTTCCATTCTGCAATTGTATCTATGATTGAAAAGATGAAAAAAGAATGAATGATCCAAAATGAATAAATCGCACAAAAAAAAAATTGTATTATCAATTACATTATCATATAAATTGTAATGCGTATTTAAGAGTGTTTTTTATAGTTATAGCCTATAGGTTAAACTATTGTTTTCGTTATATATAAATTTTAATATAATATATCATACATAATAATATTGTTAATAAATGTTTGTTTTTTTCTAAAACATTTATTTACTTTTACAGTTATACCTATACGGCTATACACATTGTATTGTATGATATTATGATTTATGGCACTGTAAAATTTATTACATAATACGTAGAGATATTCGTTATTATACAACATTAATGTAATCATATCGTAATTATATAAAACATTATTTGAGTTTTTAAAAATGATTCACTATATAGTGCTGTACTTTACTTAATAAAACCATATTAATGATGTATGTCTATAATAAGTCTTAAATTATATTATTTATAGCGTTTATTTATTGCTCTTTTGTAGTAATCCTATAATCATTAGCTATAGGGGAACTATGTAGAGTTTAGCCCCTTCCGGAGTTTATACCATATAATATGTCCTCAACCCTCGGAAAATTGGAAATGTATATTTTTTACTGGTTAAAATTATTGGTTGTGATTCGGTACTTAAGTGATTTAACATTTCAATTTTATCAATACAACATTTTAGATTAACGACATTTTTTGAAACAGAAAAATTGCTTTTATAAACATTTTTTAACCTTTGACTCGCTAATAGCTATCCAAGAGAGACCTCTAATTAATCATTTGTTAATAAACTAATTAATTTTACTGTGGGGAATTGTTTTGGTTTAAAAATAACATTAGACTGAAGTCTAACTATTATTATACCTCTCCCCAAAAAAATAAAATAGTTCAATCGATTATTTTCTAACACTTAAACATTATTAACTGAGCTGATTAGTCTATTGCATTTTAAGAGTTACAAATCTTTGAGCATTTAAATTAATAAGTATATGATTATGAAAAATATTTTTAAATTTTAAATTATAATTTTCTCTTTTTAAAGACTGCAAAATATTTTACTTTTTTAATTTTTTCGAGATTTTGATCAATATTGTCGACATTTAAACTTAAAGTTTAAATTAATTAAATTTAAATTTAAAATGCTTATAAAAAAAATGTGCCTGTGTATGCTCAATAGTTTTCTATCAAGCTATTACAAAAACTAATGAGGAACCACATGTATTACATTTTCAAGTTTTTTGACGGAGATAACAACTTTTTATACAGGGTAATAGAAAAAAATTTTTTCATGGATATAAAGTATAAAGAGCTCAGAAAGACTAAAGAGTCAATAAATATTAATAAACTATAATATTTATCCCGACCGATACAGAAAATACAGAAATATTTTTGTCATGGACAGTTTAGTGTTTGAAATAATTATACTATACGTCTCTACTAAGTCATCGTATTATATATCAGTATATATCTATTCCTACAACGAGGCAAAAACACCATGTACAAGGTGTGGCGGTATTTTAAATATTTATACCGGTAACCATGTCCGCTACTTGTTTGCAGCCGGTAATCGGTATCTATGGTACTACCGGTTGCACGGTATTTCCGGTAATTAAATACATAGTAGTTCATAGTGTTATACTTCGGTAGTTAAATACCGGTACACCGAAAATATCACCAACCCTACCTCAATTTAAAATCCGATTCTATATCTAAATTTTAATTGTTTTGTGTTAAATTGTTGAAAAGGGATTCGCCCGTTAATATATATAAATAAACAAATAAATATATAGTTGAGACTACAAATTTTCTCGAAAACGAGGTGGTTAAATAATACGGTTCTAAATTATAATATACATTTTATAAAATTAAGACATGTTATTTGTTACATTAGAAATTCGCGTATTTCGGAAGTGTATATCCTAGGATATACTATTGTATTGAATCCTTTAACATACGAATAGTTTTTTGATTTGTTATATATTCTAAAAAATATAACTTATTACATACTTTTCTCGTACAATTATACTGAAGTTATTATCATGAAGAATATAACAGCGTTAAAGCAGAATATGTTCAGACCGAAATGCCGTTGGCGCGTCATGAATTCGCCCGTCCAGTGACCAAGTGGTAATGTTCAATGCCGAACATGGTGGTTCAGATGAGTTTTGCTGCAGGTGAATAGGTGATACACCATCGGAGATTGACATTTCGCCCAAAACTGACATAGCCTCCCCACACGAGCCACACATACGTACTATTTTTGGTCACATCTCTACGTTCTTCGATCACTGCAAAGGTATAATGCATAGACCTTTGCAAAAACCAGACTATTTTAAGAAAACAATTTCATGAAAGAAAAATGTTAACGCGCCGTGTAAGGCCTAAGGAGTTTATGATAAAAATATATGAGATGTTATACCAAAAGTTTATGTCTGCAAGGACCGTGGTATAGATTTTAGTGTCTGGTTGTTCAGGGGATACCTACGTCAAGTACTTTTGGGGATTTCCATTTTACCGCCCGACACTTTGGGGATTCCCACTTTACCACCCGCTTTCCAACTCTTCAACGATCGGAAACTAAACCTCAGAAGCAGGAGTGACAAAGAAATATTTTGGCTCGGTCAAAAAACTTGAAAATGTAATACAATTCCTCATAAGTTGTTATCGGTGGAAATTAAGAAAAAAAATGAGCATAAATCTACAATATTTTTTTATAAACTTCTGAAGTTCAAGTGTTGACAACTTTTATCAAAATCTCGACAATTTTAAAATTATTTTGTAGTTAAGAAACTATAAAATGTTAAATTTTTTTAGCTAAAATTTTAAAATTTAAAACAAGAATTCTCGTAAATATTTCATACGGTAAGCACAAAATCTAAATAATATATATAAGCACAATTATTTTTTACAGACATTAATTTAAGTTCAAATTTGGTCAAAGTTACGGAAAAAGAAAACCAAGAATAACGGTTTAAGTATTTTTTTGTAATTTAAAACTATTTCTCGTTAGTATACTTGAACCTTTTAGAACACATTATTATACGCAGTATACTGTATATACACACAACGACAGTTTCAAATGCAATTTTTTGGCAAACATTGATTTAACCTGTTGTAGTAGGTATTAATAGAAAAATAATTTACTTTAATCACAATAATATCATGATTCATAAAATTTACTTAGTAATATTATATAGGTTGGTTATAGGCTGGCAGACCATCTTTGCTCAGAATCGTTTTTCGTGCATACAGCATTATTATTGAATTCAAATTTAACACACCCATTACAGCAATTCCCTAAACACCTAAAGTACTACAGAGCGTTATACCCACCTCCCTGCTTTTTTTAGTTGATTATTTTTATTTCCTTATTGAAATACATTTGCCAATTCCTTGCGGGCGCTCCTTCCCCCCCATTTTTTTCATTTAATGAACTAATCAGTAATCGTAATTAATAATTTGTTGGGTTTAAAAATCAGATTTAACCGATGCAAACAAATAATTTCAAATAAAATTATATATGTAGGTACTATAGTAGTAGGTTTAAGGTTCTGCTACTCTAACCAACTACTATAGTACCTACCTATATAATTTTATTTGAAATTATTTGTTAGCATAGGTTGAATTAGCCTGCGGGCTAGTATAGGTAGGTATACAAGCTTTTATACTATTTACTACTGGTACAAGGTATATAATTATATTTTTATTTTATTTTGCTTCCTAAAATAGAGTTATAATATAACTTATATTATAATTATTTATAAAGTAGGGACTTGCGAATTCCCCAGACCCATTGACGGTCAGAAAATAATAAATTATTATATGGAATACCGGAACAGTCATTGCTCGTGCATAAAGAACATAATTGTAGAAGTGTAGGTTAGTTTCAATTGCTCATGGGGATGTTTTCCAAAATAGTCCAATGTTATATTTATTTAGGTATTTATTTATATAGGCATATAATAATATGAGGGGGGGACGAGGTGACCGAGTGGTCTGACGCGTCCGCTGCGACGCAGCCGATCGCGGTTCGATCCTCGGCCACCGGGCGGCATTTTTCTCTGGACAAGTCGCGGTGACCGGAGAACAAGTGCCGCCATCCCCCAACCGGGCATGGCAGAAACCTACGGGTGCCCAATAGAAATTCTGCCAAAACAAAAACACACACGTGTTCCCCCCCCTACAGTCCCAAAAACTCTACAGTACCACACAACCTACAGCTAATGGCCTCAGTTGCCGAAGCTTAAATCAAAAAAAAAAAAAAAATAATATGAGGTTGTCATTAGTTGGTAAAATAATGTTTTAAACACATACACATTGGGTTTATTCAATATCATGCATGGTTTATGTTTATGATAAAAGTATAAAAAATACATATATTATTACATAGCCCATATGAAAAAATATAATTTTAGGTTTTTTCAGTTAGACTAAGGCTGGTTATTTATATATATTATATAAAGCCAATGCGGTCTGGTCCAGTGACGTAATTTGGTCATGTTTGTATGGGGTGATTAAAACAATTATCTAAAAAATACAAAAAAAATTTGGTTTATACCATCATAAGCTCCTCTCAGTACAACCACTGTGATCTGTATGATGTAAATACAAGTATAAATTATGCATCATTAAGAATTACGTACCTACTTTTATAAAGTTTTGTGAATTCGTGGAATAATCTGCGTAAGCGTAAAATACTCAAAATCACTTCAAAAGGTTTAGTCACAAACTACCCAAGTGCAAAGACTGACGAAATATTCTGATTACTTCATTATTGTTAACTAGGTGGAACAGCCAAGAAGGTTTCCAAATGAAATATTTTCAAGCGTTCATTTATTAGTTTCGAAAATAATAATGCGTGTCCATACTCAAATGGATCACTCTGTATACCGGGTAACAACTAAATGAGGTACATAAAGGTAGGTATTTTATTATCATGTTATGATGGTCCGCGGTTACCTACTACATACCCGTCCGTGGTTATCGCAGTTATCTACAAACGGTAGCTCATCGCTTATCAGCCACGGACCGTCGCCTCCGTGTGAACGTATTATTTATATTGTGCGCACACGCACACACCAATTACCGAAACTCAGTAGTTGTATAGGCAGTAGCGCGCTGATAGCGTTTTGGGGCAACGAACAAGTAGGCAGCAAGCTCGTCGAGTCGCTACGATTTCTATTGCCGACGAATGTGCGATAGACTATTATAGTGCCGTACTGTCAGTGATCGTCTGCGGGTCTGAATTTCCGTAGCTCGCGTCCACGGCTGAATTCTGCCGACAACATCACCACCGTCGCCGCCACCAAACGTTTTACTCTCCGTCACACTAGCTGACGTCCTCTATAGAGTACACCATGCAGTCTGCGCCGTCGGGCCGAACGTCGTCCGAGAGTCGATTGTGACGTATATAGTTGTAAGTCTCATATTATGTTTCTGTTATTACATGCTCTTTTTTTCTTATGATTCACGGTTTAATGCCCTATCTAAGACCGTCACTTTTGCCATGGCCTCTATGATCGTCGCTTTTATCATGACTTCTATGATCGGTTTGAGAACCTTTCCAATTTCAATATCTTTAAATGGGAGATATAATAATAAAGTGTTACAACTAAAGATGTGTCTTCGGGACATGTTTAATGATGAAAATGTATTGTCGTTCTGTTGATTTAGTGCAGAGCAGTGTATCATACATAACTGATCAGTATGACAACAATCATCCTCGTTCGTTTTGCCTGTAATATGACTGATGTTGAGAACTGAGTCTTCCCACAACTGGCCGGTGTTGGGCGAGCGTCATGGCTGCCTGCACGGTTCCATTTCTACTGTGGATAGTCACATTACAATGGATTTCAGCTCAAGACTATTCTTCTCAGTGGGCAGCTCACATCGAAGGTGGATTAGAAATAGCCAAAAGAGTAACAGAAAAACATGGATTTGTTTTGCTAGGGGAGGTAAATAATTTTATTTTATTTAATCGATCAACATCCAACTCTCTCAAGAAAATGTTTTACAGAATGTGTACATTAAAACTACTTAAAACGTTGTCTATTGATCCAAAATTTAAAACTAAATTAAGAAACAGCTCTGTTATATTAAATATAAAAACATTATTAAAATTTGAAACTAGTTAGAAAAATAGACCTGTTGTTAATTGTAATGTATTTGCAACATTTAGAATCTAAAAAAAAACATAAAAGCACCAAGTATGAATATTATTGGGCTTAGAACAGTTCTTACTACTTTTTTTAGTTAGCATAAATAACTAGGTTAAGTTATTTATGTAAAGAAAAAGACAAATGAAGCATGGTGGTCTGTTGTTGTTTGTTGTAACCATCATGCAACAAATTTGTTTACTGTCTATTGCTTAAAATTGAATTTGCTCTACTTGGTATAAATGCATTTTACTTATTCTAACATGAATGAAATGTAATTTTAAATATAATATTGTATTATAATAATATACCTATGTACCAATGTTTAATTTGTAGCAAGATCATCTAATAAACTCTATCTGAATCTACTGCCCACCTTTACTCTTTAGCCCAGGGGTTCCCAACCTTTTTATCATCGAGTACCACCAGACACTTATAGTCAATACGCGTACCACCTCAATTCTAAAACTAAATTAGGAGTCAAATTTGTTTAGCGTATATTTTTATTATTCATTCATTTCTTTACATTTTTATTATTTGATATTTATGAAAGTAAAAAATCATAATTTTTAGTTAAATCTAAATATTTATCCAATTTTCTTTTGAAAGAATTTATTTTATCAAAAACGGTGAATATTGTCATATGTATGCCTTGTAAGCCTATATTTAAAGTGTTGAGCTTATCAAAAATATCAGCTAAGTAGGCTAATCTGGATAATCATTCTTCATTGTTGGACATATTCTTCATGTCATTGTCTTTTTCAATCAAAAACAAATTAACTTCAGATCTCAGCTCAAACAATCTATTTAAAATCTTGCCATGAGATAACCATCTTACTTCAGTATGAAATAGCAAAGTATTGCCCTCCCATTTCTTCGCATAACAATTTGAACAGTCGAGAATTGGGGGCTCTAGCCTCTTTGAAAAAACTCAATTGGTTGATTTTCTGTTTCGGGATGTTTAATTTGTTGGTGACGTTTTAATAGCGAAGGTTTCATACTTTGGTTTGAAAGTGTCCTTTACATAAAACGCATAGGGGAATAGGGTTTTCACTATTTTCTGTTTCCAGTTTAATCACAAAGCCAAATTTCAAATAATTTACATCGTACTTACGATTTGGCTGTGTTTTTGATTTTTTACTAGGGTTTTCAATGAAAGACTAAGTAGTATCTTCACCACACTTAAGAAATCTCTTCATAATATTAAATTTTACATACAAAGTAAATTTAAAATAAAAGTTTTGTAAAATAAAACACCACTAAAATACAGATCATTTCATACGACATACAATACGTATAGCGACACACTAAAATAACTCATTGACATTTCCTTCGTATATTTTCCAATAATCGTTATCGCCAATTGAGTGGCCATAACTATATAATATAAAATATAATATAAATAACACCAACGTTAAAACTATTAGAATGCTCTTCAATAAGAACTATATTTAACTATAGAGTTTATCATTATCTAAAATTCTAAATTGCTACGATTACAAACCCCATGTTATCAACATTAAATGTTATTTTGATAAAATAATAATTTTATAAAATTAGCCAATATCAAATTAACTAAACACTAAGCTAAACTTAATAATATTGAATGCAAATAGTAATAAAAAAATTTCTTTGCGTGCCACGGGTTGGGAACCTCTGCTTTAGCCTATGACAATATGACCTATGTATAATACTATAATCTATAGCCATAAATTTGTTTTTAGAACTTGACCAACTTTACTATATACATGTACCTAGTTGTTTACTACTTATATTCACAAGTTATCAAGCACTTATACATTTTTCATGTATTATAAATTGGATGGCCAAAATGTACTCATAAAAAAAAAATTGACTAATTTATAAACATACATTCTATATTAACTAAGCATGCTCATTGCTCACCCACTTTTTTCCTTTAATGACAAATTTATTAAAATTCTAATTTTTGAAATTTTTAAATATAATTTAAGCCATATTTTCAAATTCTTAATTAATAAATGATCACAAATTCTTTTGTGTTAAGAAGAATTTTGTGGCAATACTGATTTTTGTTTTTCAAATAGGAACCCCATTTTTAGAAAAATAATATGGATATAATATGGTATTTATTATACTTGAACCATTTTTACAAATTATAAGTGTTGATAGATTAATATCTATTACTAAAATTATCAAATCTTCCAATCCCATTATATCAAAAACTACTAGTTTGAATTTTAATTTTGGTGTGTCAAAAATGTCATTAGAAATGTCCACTAAATAATAACTATTTATTATTTGAAAAACAGAAGTTTGTATCTCCCCATGAAACTTCTTAAATAGTACAAGAAATCTCAACAATTTGAAGTGCCTACCTATATTTAAAAGTTTAAAAAATCAGATTTTGAATAACTGCATCATTGGAGAAACAAATGTGTTGAGTATGCTTGGTCAATCACCCAATGTATAAGAAATATTATTATACTATAGAATATTTCCTATACAATAAACATTAACAATTTAATAATTGTAATAAAAAATTCTAATTCTGTTATATGTCTCAAATGCAGTAATACTAATAGTAACAATTATAGTTATCTTAAAACTCCAACTGTTAGAGTAAATGCTAAACACACATAGGTATATACTAGTTATAATACTATTCAAATGCTTTTCTGCTCTTAAATGTATTAACTTCAACTGTCTCGTCTCAAAAAATACTAAGATAGGTGTCTAATATAACATTGGTGTAGAAATATTTAAGAAATATTCCTTGTCTATCCAAGAATAAAGAATACGCTATACACTATCCATTACATGGAATGGACCAGAGTCTTTTCTGATACTGTTTATCAAGTGTAATTACATAATATTTTATCACTTGTAGGTACTCATTGTACAACACATGTACAAATTGTATGATTAAAAAAAAAATTATACATAAACAACTTATTTCAGATTTTTCCAGACTATTATCATCTAGAACACAATCATGTATCGAAGCGATCAGTTAACCCAGGGCTTGAACATCATAAAAAATTAATATCAGAACAAAATGTAAGTACATACATTTATTGTTTAAATTCTATTTGTATATTTTGCTAAAAAAAATATGTTGAAATTATGTATCATTTATTTTTATTTTGAGATCTATATAAAAGAGATCTTATTTTTGATTTGAATGGTTTCTTTGGCTCTATATTAGGCTTATGAAGTAACAATATCTTGTTTTTTCTTGGGAATGTTGGTGTTAAAGTTGGCTGTTTGTCATTAACTGTTGATCTATTTTCCATTTTGAATACTTTTATTGGAATGGTATTTGTAATATTTGTTGGAATTAGATTGGTGTTCACATTATTGTTTTGGTTATTTAAAGTATAATTTTGCTGATATAAATAATTATAGTAATTTAAGTATTGTTCATAGATTTGATTATATGATTGTTCTCCTCCGAGATTGATTGATTTCCACTGTTCGGTATCAATAGCAAACTAAAAAAATATAGGTATAAGATGATTTATTTCTTAAAATTTTAAAATATTACTCATTTTTTAAAGTCCTTTAAGTTGAGTACACATGTAATAAAAGATAAATGAAACACAGTTAACTAGATAGATATCAGTTTAAGCTTTCAAAGTGAACTGTTCATTTTCAAATTCAAATTTTAAACCTTTTTCATTCTTAATGGTGGCTCAATATAAAAAGAGTAAACTTAACATCAAACCAGTTTTAGTAAAATAAATATAGCTGAATTAATATAATGACTGTACAAAATCTATGTTTACTAAAAATAACATAATCATTTTAGGTTAATAAATTATTTAATATATTAATCGTATCCTTATTAGTATTTAATTTGATTAGACGCATAGAATATATTTCAATGTATTTAATATTTAAGAAATAATTTATAATAAATAATATTAGATGTCACATAAAATATAAATATTTACATACTTATACATTATTCTGTAAATTATATTTAAAAAAAAAAATATGTATTCAAATGAATATGTTTTCATAGTATTATTATATCAACAACAATGTTACTAATTTACTATACCTGGTTAAATGACAGTACCGCTACAACACAATTTAAAAACAAAAGTGGTATTGAATTCATGTTGAGTGTTACTATTTGTGGTCTAGCCCATAAATGAAAAATATTTATGCAATTGTATACGTATATATAGGTATATATTCATCGCACAGTAACTTCCTTTAATATAAACAACATATTTATCTCTTTTTCATTTTCTAAACAAATGTAAGAAAAAAAATGTCCAATCATTATATCACTTGTCACGTAGTTTAAAAAATAATCAAATGTTTATTATTTTTTCAGGTAAAGTGGGCAAAACAACAAACAATCTTAAGTCGATCAAAAAGAGACTACTTAACTTACGTTCGAGATAGCAGGAGTTCAAAAAGATTTGCGATTAAGGGGGGATTAAATGATCCAAAATGGCCAAAAATGTGGTATTTGGTAAGTAGTTTGTGGTAGAATTATTTGTTTTTAATATTTTGAAATGTTTTATTTATTGTTTATGAAAATCCATAACATATTATTTAATTATTTGAATACTTAATAATCTATATGAATCAAAACATTGTACACAATGTTATTTATTTTTTACCTTACCTAATGCAAAATTGTATGTTATGACCTTGTTACTGGTGTACTATGTACATGAATGGTTTTCATTTCCTGTATTTACTTTTTTCAATGTGAATTGTTATTTATAACTTAAATTATCAATCTTATCAATTTTGTTACATTTGTACCATTATAATATGAATAACCTTCTAACATTTAATTATGTTTAGAACCGTGGTAAAGACATGGATATGAATGTTCAAGGTGCTTGGGAAGAAGGAATTACAGGAAAAGGATCTGTTGTTACTATATTGGATGATGGCTTAGAAAAAGACCATCCAGATTTAATAAAAAATTATGTAAGTTTGTTTAAAATAACAGTTCCTAGTAAATTCAATATTATTAACTATAAATAAATGTTCCATTGTTAAATATATGTTTGATAGGATCCTTCAGCTAGTTATGATATGAACAATAGAGATGAAGACCCAATGCCTAGATATGATCAAATGGATACAAATCGCCATGGTACTAGATGTGCAGGAGAAGTGGCTGCCACTGCCAACAATTCTCTGTGTTCAGTTGGTGTTGCATTTGGTGCGAGTATAGGTGGGGTTCGAATGTTAGATGGGGATGTGACAGATGCAGTTGAAGCTCGATCTCTAAGTTTAAATCCTCAGCATATTCATATCTATAGTGCATCATGGGGTCCAGACGATGATGGCAAAACTGTAGATGGGCCAGGTGAATTAGCCACTCGAGCTTTTCTTGAGGGTATATCAAAAGGCCGTGGTGGTAAAGGATCAATATTTATTTGGGCGTCTGGTAATGGTGGCCGTGAACATGATAATTGTAACTGTGATGGATATACAAATGCTATTTGGACATTAAGTATCAGTAGTGCAACACAAAATGGCCATGTCCCTTGGTATTCTGAAGCTTGTAGTTCAACTTTAGCAACAACTTATAGTAGTGGAAGTAATTATGAAAGCCAGGTAATAAAAAAAAATGCAATATAATGTAACATAAAATTATTTATTGAACATTTTTTTAAATTATAGATCATTACAACAGATCTTCATCATGAATGTACTAGTAATCATACTGGTACATCTGCATCTGCTCCACTAGCAGCTGGGATAGTGGCTTTAACATTAGAAGCTAATAATAAACTAACTTGGAGAGATATGCAACATATTGTAGTGTTAACAGCTAGGCCAACTCATTTATTAGCTTCTGATTGGACTATAAATGGTGTTGGACGAAAAGGTATTTATTCTTAACAGAACTAAATCATTAATTGTTACTTAGTAATAAAGTATTTTAACAATATTTAAAAAATAACTAGACATTTTATGATAAGTTACTAATATATAGTAATATAAAAAAATAAATAAATTTGGAGTCAAGCAGATAGGAGTAATAAATAAATAAGTAATGGCTTATCTTACTTTCTTATTTTTTTTTTTTTAAGTGAGTCATTCTTTTGGCTATGGTTTAATGGATGCTACTACGATGGTAAGATTAGCTCGTAAATGGAAAACTGTTCCAGCTCAACATATTTGCAATGTTACTGCTCAAGTTTTTGAAAAGTATGTCTGATTAAATACATTTTTATATTGGCTTAATAAATTATTCACTTGCAATTGAATTTTTTTAATTATATTACAGACCAGTGCCTGCACGTAGTACAGTTACAATACAACTTTTAGTAAAAGAATGCAATAGCGTTAATTTTTTAGAACATGTTCAAGCTAAAATATCATTAACAGCTAGTCGACGGGGTGATATCAAAATTGATTTAACTTCTCCAAGTGGTACAAAATCAACACTACTTGCTCCAAGAACTCATGATAATTCTCACGCTGGATTTCATGTATGGCCATTTATGACTGTACATATGTGGGGAGAACGTCCTTTTGGTATTTGGCAATTGACTATTCATAATGAAGGAAAATTATTAGGTAAAAAGCAAAGTTATTAATTAAATTCACATATTTATTGTAATTTCTTTTAAAGAACAGAATGTCCAATACTGTGGATGAGGTTGACTATAACAAATTATAAAAATAATAAATAATAATACATTTAAATTATGTACTATTACTACACTACTATTTTTTTAAATGTATCAATTATCAAAGTTCTATAATTAACTAACAATCGATTGCCACTTATAAATTGATGTGCTTTAGGTCGATCTTCTTTACACGAGTGGTGTTTGATATTGTATGGTACTAAATATTCCCCAAGGACATTATCTCCTACTATCTATCCAGTGGAACAGCCACCCAAACCAATTCCCCGAAGGAATTCCAAAAATACAAAAAAAAAATCAAAAAAAAGTAAATCTCAAAAACAGTCTACCACTCCAGTTAGTACCCTCCAAAAACAAAATGTTTCCAGTTTTAAACCAAATGTTCATATTGTTCTTTTTCCTATTAAAAATTCATCTAAATTGTCTCCTACACTAACAGACAACATCCAAACATATCCTAGCAGCCATAGACTCTACAGTTTACAAAATGTGGATGGCAGGCAGACAAAAAAAAATTTGTCGCCTGAAAGAAACATATCACCTTCGACTACAGGCAAGAATGTCAGCATGGAAATCACCATTTTCTTTGCATGCCATGCTATAATTGTACTTGAATAAAAAAAAAATAGGTATCATTTATTATTTTGCTTATTTTGGTCAAATAAATTCCTTTATATTTTTAGCACATCGCGCATCGTAGGGTATTAATTGTATTTGTGTAGTTTAATATTATTAATTAATTAATTTTGTTGTGTTGAATTATTTTAGTTTATAGTTAAACGTATATTTTTATTGCACATTTTTTCTTAGTTGAAAAATACATTTGCTAGCATATTTGTAATTATTTTTCAATTACCTCATAAATTATACAAAAGTCTTACTTATACATATAAAAAGAATAGTTATATTTATTCTTTAAACATTATTTCAAATTGATGCTTTCCGCTTAATAATATCAATTATTAATCTGTAAAGTATTTAAATTGTTTTTTAAAGTTAAATATAGCGAGCCTCTGATCATAATTTAAATATCACTAATTTGATTATTTATTTATAATAATACATGATAATTTGATTAAAATTTTGTATGAGAGTTCCTCGTTTTACTCTGCATTTACCTCCTTAATTTAACATTTCTATTTATAGAAAAATAATCAGTTATTGTTTATGTGAGTATGATATTACTTGTGCTACAATGCCTATTTGTTCATATTATTATTATAAATATGTTTTCAAAATAGTATTCTCACTTTATAATTTTAGAAAATAATAGCAAAGTTTTACAAATTTTAGTTGGCCACTTATGTTGCAAAATGTATAGTTCATAATTGATATCTTGATAATTATAGTTGTTTGACTTTTATTTAAGTAACACTTTTATTGACCGTGTTTAATAAATCTACTTTTACATTTTTGGTTTTAGCTACCATGACTGATTGGGAAATGGTTTTTTACGGAACAATATTTCCTCCAGAACAAACACATATACTTCCTACCATAAGTATAAGTCAAAATCTGACATCAGAAGATGAACCAGAACAAAATTTCAAATCTGGAGAATGTCGCGTGACCACTACTAAATGTTTAGGTTTGTTATTCATTTTATGTGCAATAATCCCTTATTTTTAACAGGGTAAATAAATTAAGGTTTTATTAAGTCTTCCCATAAAAGTGCCATATAAATTGCTTCGGGCTTCAATTTTTGTGAGACCCATCGATAATTATAAAAATTATAATTACATTTTTGCTTTTATTAATTGTAAAACACAGAAATATGCATTTTACATCAAAATGCAAAATAAAACAGTTTTCTGGATCTATTAGCTGTAATTTCAAACTTTTAGCTCTGGCTTTTTGGACTGTTAAAAATCATGCAACTGCATATAAATTTGTGCCCTTATTATAAATTTTAATTAACAAATACATATATACCCACCGTACGCATTGTAATGAATTAATAAAAATCATAAACAGTTAATACCAAAAATTTCTTAGCACGAAAACGGAATCCAAATTTCCACCAGCAGCCAGAGTACAATAATAGAAAATTACCCATGAAATAATTTTCTTTAAAGAAAACCTTTTTTCAAATTTAAATTGGATACTAAAAGAAATCTTATTTTGTAGTGCAATGAAGTTCAATTTAATCAAATTTAAAACAATTAAAATGTTCTTATACAAAAAGTATATTGCTATAATAAATTTAAAATAATTTTAATATTATTGTAATTATAGGTATAATAATATAATATATAATATTTTTATATATCTATGGGTCTTGAATTTTACATTATGAAGCCTTTCAGTTATCTTTTTCTGGTATTTGTTTGATATGACCTCTGTGATAATGAGTTAGACTCCATGATTCAGCATGATATTAACAGTTGAATAAGAAACTAAGAGTCTTGAGTAATTGGACTATTATTGACATGAAGGGGGAGAGGCTTACATGAATGAAATTAATAGCATTATGGCTAACTAGTTTCACTCATAATTGCATTGGTTAATATATAATATTTACTGGAAGATCTGCCTAATATTGTGGGGTTATTGAATCAATACAACAAACAAAGTATCTAATATTGTTAAGACAAATTTATTTGAGTTGTTCATAAAACATTGTAATTAATATAGGTTGAAGGATACAGATTATTTTAGTTTCTTCAAAACATAGGTGTGCGCATTTGTGTAGTAGAGT